CTGGCCTGTACCCCAGTTCTTGTGTGTATAAATAAATAAATGTTTAAAAAGAAAAAAGAAAGGACGGCTGGAGTGGCAGAGTATTGAGGCAGGAAGGGCAGCTGGTGGGCAGCCCCATGGGGAGTGCAAGGGCAGCGAGATGGTGGAGGCCCAGCACGCACTGGCAGTTCTCAACCTGGAGGTGTCTGACCACCCCAACTTCATCCCCAAACTCTACTGCAACGTGGGAGGAAGATATTTATCCTCAGCCAGTGGACAGTGGCCGGGATTCCTGGTGGGTGGAACTGGGGAGGGTGAGGAGAGGGGATGGGCCTCTCGCCAGAAGCTGGGGGTCTAAAAGCCAAGATCCCGTATGCAGGTGCAGTGGGAGTGAGATGGGAGCCGGCTTGAGAGTGGGGGTACCCACTGTAATGCTGAGTTCACAGAGCCGAGGTAGGGGGCAGGGATGCAGTATGCGGGTTCAGCACCCAAGCCCCGGGTGTGTGATAGAGGGCAGCCCCGGAGGAGCCCCGCCGGAGCGCGCTGCAGCCTGGCAGGCAGTGACACAGCTGTCCTCAGCTCCCGCCCTTTAGGGTTGGGGTTCTGCCTCCAGCACTGGGAGGCCCAGCGGGCTGGACAGGCGGGCACTAGTTCCTAGAGGAGGCTGCCTGCAGCCAATAGGGCTGGGATGAGGCACTGGACCCCCATGGGGTGCTGGAGTGAGTCTGATGACGATGCACACAGGGAAAGTGCCAACTCCTTATGGCACAGCAGCAGGTGGCATGGACAGGAAAGGAAAACAAACAAAAAAACTACCCAATCCAGGGCCCTGGGGAAAACCAAGAGCAGGTGGAGGTGCCCAAGGGGTTTCCGCAGAAGGGACTCCCTGCACCTGCGGCCCGTTGGGCAGGTTCCGTGGAAGCCTGGGTGCTCAGCTGGGTTCTGCCAGATTTGCTGTGTGGTTTTGGCCAAGTCTGCACCACCCTGGGCCCCAGGAGGAACCATGACCTGACGCAGCCTGCCTCCCCTGTGGGAGCCGGGAAGCTTCTGCCCACAAGATGAGGCTGTCAAGCCCCCAGCTAAGGGCCACAAACACACCCTGGCCTGTGCCAGAGCATGCACCGTGCGCACACGCACAGACACACACACACACACACACACACACACGCACACACACGCAGTGACTTTTCTGGCCCTGAGGCTTAGAGCCTCAACCCCAGGATAAAACCCACCTCACCAACCCCCACAAGGGATACTTTTGCCTAGAAAAGAGGGCTCCGCGGGTCTGTGTCCTCCTGCTGTGTGGCGGTGGATGGGCTGGTGACCTCTCTGGGCCTCACCGCGCTCCTCCATAAAATGGAGATTCCTTTTCTTTCCCTCCGAGAGAGCAGGGCAGGCTCCCCGCTGCCGCCCTGCTCCTCAGGGGCCTCCGCTTCCTCCTTCCCAGGGAGCCGGGCAGGGCCGGTGGGTCCCGGCGCCAGGACGTCATGTTCCCGTTGGGGTTTCGCTTCCTCCGGGCCCAGCCCTCGGGGTCCCCCGCACCCGGCCCGCGGGTCTGGAGCGGCGGCGCCCGCAGGCCGATCCCCGCCGTTACCGGCTTTTCCTGCCCGGTGCGGGGAGAGGCTGGGGACGCAGGCCCGTCACCCCCGAACCCCCAGACCACGCGTCTCTGCCGCCGCCCGGCCCCCGCCGCGCGACCCGGGGTGCGCGGGGCGGAGCCGCCGGGGCGGGCGCTCTGGACGCCCCACGGGACGGGCTTCGGGGGGCGCTCGGCCGTCGCCCCCACACCGGACCGGCTCCTCGTCCTCCCCTGGGTCCCGGCAGCGGCCGGCGCGGGCGGGGCGGGCCCGGGGCCGCGAGGGAGGCGAGGGGAGGCCCCGGCCGCGGCCGTCGGGAGGCGGGAACCCGGGCCGGGGCCGGGGCCGGGGCCGGGGGCCGGGGGCGCCCACGGGCGGCGGGAGGCGGCCCCGGGAGGCGCGGGCGTCCCGGCGCTGGGCGTGACCGGCGCCCGCCGTCCGCACGGGGCCGAGCGAGGCGCGCGCGGGGCGGCGCCGGGAGGTGGGGCGGGCCCCGGGCGGGGCTCCGGGTTTGGGGGCGCGCCGGGTTTGGGGGCGCGCCGCGGCTGGGGGCAGGGCGCGGAAGGGCCGCGGCGAGACGGGGGAGGCGGTGGCCGGCAGGAGCGCCCGCGGCCGGGGCCTGGGGTGCGGGCCCGGGGTCAGTGCGGAGGGCAGGGGGCGCTGCGGCGGGGCGGGCGAGGGACGCGCGCTGAGGGTCCCGCACCCCCCCCCCCCCCCGGCCCGGGGAGCCCCGCTGCGGAGCGGCGATGCTGCCATCTCGTGGCCACCGGGGGCCGCGCCCCGAGCCCCGCCACCTCGAGGGGCGCCCGAGCAGGCGCCAGACCCGGGACGGCCGGGGCCCCGCCCAGCCGAGGGCGCGGGGCGAGGCGCAGCCGCCCTGGAGGCCGCACGCGGCGGTGCCGGGGCTGAGCTGGGGGCCGGGCTCCCCGGGGGCGTCTGCCGCAGAGGCTGCCCCGGCGGGAGGGCCCGCGGTGCCGGCGGACGCGGCGTTCCTGGACAGGCCCGCGCCGCCCCGCGAGCGCCCAGCCCGCGAGGTGCGACGGGAAGCGGGGGCACCGCGAGCTGGAGCGCGCGTCTGAAGCCACCAGCCCGGCGCGCCGAGCCGACTGCACCTGGGCGGGGCGGGAGGGGTCGGCGTCCGGCCCGGAGAGGGCTCTTGCGGCCCAGGAAGCCAGGAGGGCATGGAGGGGGCGGAGGCTCTGCCCAGGCTTCCCGTCAGCACCGTTCCCTTGCCCAGTGCTGCTTCCACTCACGCCTCCTCTACCCCGGCCGGGCACCACCTGCCCAGCAGGAGCCTCCAAGGCCGCACCGGCAGCGGGTCCTTGATTATGTGGCCGTGACTTCGGCTGCTGAGCCATCTGGCCCGGGGCCTGCGGCCAAGAAACTCAGTCTGGCCGGTGCCATGGCTCCCGCCTCACCCACCGCCAGGCCCAGCGGCCTTCCCTCTGGAGAGGGCCCTGGAAGGCGGCAGTGCTGCTCTGCCCGGGAAGCCCAGCCTGCCCAGCCCTCTGCCTCCGTCCCCCTCCCAGCCTTGGGTCCTCCCTGACCGCCTCACTCCCACGGCCAGACGGGCTTCCCTTGGCTGCATTTCAGAGCAGGTGAGGCCTTTTCATTTTGCGCCGTCGTTGCTGTCCCCTTCCCTCCTGTGTGACCTGCCAGGACAGCTCTCGGCCACATTCACCTGTGTTCTCAGCACCCGGCACACCTGTGGTGTCGCTGGCACTGGGAGGTACAATACACGAGAAGGAACAAATGACTTGGCAACTGGCCACTGACAGAGGCAGCCCTGGGGCCACCCCCCAAAGGGCCCTGGGCTTCCGGCTGTCACCCTGGCAAATCTCCATTCCCCGCAGGGGACACCATTTAAAAGGTGCTGTCACTCACCTGGGGAGAATGGGGGAAGCAGGGCTGGGCGGGTCAGGCCGGTGGCGAGGCAGCTGTGAGGAGAGGACCGGATTCCCCTCTTCATTACTGTGTGTGAGCAGGCCAGTCCCGGAGCCTTAGTTTCCCCATCTGTAAGCAGTGTCGAACCCCTAACCCCACAAAGCTGTGGAGGTGTGGAAAGGCGGGGTTGGTGCATGGCACACAGCGGGAGCTCAGGAAGAGCCCAGGAAGTGACCTATGGCCCCAAGCGCTGATCGGAGGGCAGCAAGGCAAACAGCATGGGGCCACTGAGAGCAGGGGCCGGAGACCCAGTCCCTGGCCGGCTCCATGTGATCGAAGGTGGGATGGGGCGGCGGGTGGCAGTGACCCAGGCAGGGCAGGGGGGAGGGTGGCCAAGGGACTTGGGCCTCTTCCCAATTTGGAGTAAAAGCAGCCTCTGGGGAGGGCCGCACCTGGGCACAAGGGCCACGTGCTGAGGGGCGGTGTCCAGGACACCTTGTCAGCAGCAGTGCCTGTGCCTGGGCCAGCACGTAGGCAGGGCCTGGGAGGCAGCCTGGAGTTTGAAGCAGCCGAGTGTGATGTGTGTGCAGGGCCGGGGCCGGCTGCCCCATCTCCTGAGGCTGTGGGTCAGGCCGCTGGCTGTGCCCACACACGCCATTTGGGCTGGGGAAGTGGGCCAGGCTTCAGACTCAGCACCACCCGCCTAGGGGATGGACAGACCTAGGGTCCTCACCACACCTGGAGGGCTGAACAGGGCCAGGGTCCCCTGTGTCCAGCTCTAGGCCACACCTCAGAAAGTGGGGTGCCTGCCTGAGCCTGATGGCAGCTGGCGGCTACTCCCAGACAGACCCGGGCTCCACTCCAGCCTCCGGGCCCAGGCCCTCAGGCTCTGCCCCCCGCGGGCTGGTCTTTCGGCAGGCCACTCACCCAGCCCCACAGGAGCCCCCTTCCTTCCACCCCTGAGGGCTGGGCCAGGACCCCAACATGCCTCAAGCAGGGATTGCCAGGAAACTGGTGTGGACCATCCAGACTGGAAAAGGTGGTACCCCAAGAGCTGGGGCCCTTGAGCTGCTGGGCAGGTAAGAACTAATGCCTGAGCCTGACCTGGCCCAGCGCCTCGAGTTGTGCGCCAAATCCTCCAGACCGAGCCCCAGGGCTGGCTGGAGTGGGGATAAGGTGCTGACGTACAGCGAGCACCCAGCACACCATACACAGGTGCACCTGTGGCCAGCGGCAGCTCACGTGACCCACGAGTCACTGGCAGCGTCCCATGAGGGTGACCTTGCTTCACCCAGGGTGCGGTGACCATGCCAGTCCCGTGTGCAGCCCGGGGCCCCCTGCACCTGGGTGAGCCCCCGACACACCGCCCTGAGGCATTTACCCAGCGCACACTCCCACCCACGCTATGGGCAGGGCAGGGGCTGGCCCGGGACAGCAGTCCTCACAGCTGCATCTTGTCAGAAGCAGCCTCGCGCCTGCGCCGGACACCTCACTCAGGTGGAGAATGAGCAGGCAAAGCAAGGCTGGCACCTGTGGGCCTCGCCAGCTGCTCCACCCATCCATCCACAGGTGCCCACCGCTAGGATGGCCCCCAGTCCAGCCCCAAGTAGTCGCTCCCCTGGATAAGAGAGGTCACTGCCCTCCTGGAGACCAACAACAGCGCGGTTTCTACCTTTAATCTGAGATATAAAAGGCACCTCTCCCAGCACAAGAGATCAACAACAGGAGGCCCAGGGCTGAGGAGCCCTGCCAGGAGGCCCAGGAAGGGAAAGGCAGTGGAGGAGGTGGTGGGGGCACAGACGTTCCAGGCTCCCTGGATGCGCCCCCGCAGCTAGGTGGTGAGATTGCCCCACCTCGCACAGCTTCGTACCTGCAGAGCAGCTTGGCCGAGGGCCGCAGACCTGCCCAGGGGTGACTGGAGCCTGCAGGCTCCAGGCAAGGGCCGGGGGATGGACCAGGGGCTGTGACAGAAGCTTCTGCCATCGCCAGCCTCCAGCCAGGCCTCGACTGGCAGTGTGGGATTGTGGGGCGCCCAATGGGGGGGGGTCACCCAGGCCAAGGAAAGAGTCAGCCTGTCTGTCCCAGGGCTTCCCAGTTCCCAGTGACATCGTAGTGGTCGGTTGGGGTGAGGAGGAAGCAGGAGTGGCCAGAGAAGACCTGTTCCTGAGTCACCCAGCTGCCCCCACACCCCAGGCAGCAGGGCCCAGCCTTGGCTGGGTCAGCCCCATCCTCCAGGAGAAGAGAAGGGGGTAACAAGGCACCCCCAAAGCAGCCTTAACACCGAAGGAAGGAGGGAGACCCCAGCGGAGAAGGGGGACGGGGCTGCAGGGTGCCAGACCCCACACTCATAAGGCAAACAGCATGTCGTCATCTTTCTTCTGGGTCTTCTTTCGAGGGGCAGCACCGGAAGGAGGCCCTGGGGGCCCCTCAGCTGAGGGGCTGGAGAGGTTGGGCAACCGATCGGCGGCTTTGGCCCGTTCTTCCAGGAACTTGTCAAATTCTAGAGGAAGGAGAAAGAAGCTGGGCGGCCGGGCGCCGAGAGCGGGCGGGGGGGAGGGCAGGCAGGGGCTACTACCTTCACTGGTCACGCCCTTGTTCTCCTCCAGGTCGTTCCCCTGAGAAAGCAGGAAGAGGCCGAGATTAGCACTGGCTCCTGGCACCGGGCGTGGGTGGGGTGACCCGGTTGCAGACCCAGAGTGGTCCCAGCCTGGGAGCTGAAGCCTCCCCCTCTCCTGCCTCCCCACAAGAGGCTTTGGGTGTCACCTGACTTCTCGGCCTCGGACCTCTGCCTGGCAAGACTCACAGGGTTTTTGGGAAACTAGGATAGAAGGATCCACGCAGGGCGCCTGGCACAGAGCCCAAAGAAGCCTCCTGAACTCTAGTTTTCCTTCCAGTGCCGGGAGGGCCAGAGCTCATGCACGCTGGTGGTGGCGCTGGGGAGGGCCACGCTTCTGCCGCCAGATAAAACAGATGGGCCGTGCCTGGCCCTGGGCAGAAGCTCAGCCTGGCCGCTTACAAAAAATCCAGCCTTGGCCTCTAGGTGCCTAGGCGCATGGTCTTTGGTCCAGAGAGGGGTGAGGAAGCCTGAAAGGGGAGGCAGAGGCTGGCTGCCCCTTCCCCGCTCAGGGACCAGCGGGAGAGACTGCCTGGGTGGCTGCTTGCTCACCTCCTCCTGATCTGTGAAATGGGGTATGGGTGGTGCTTCCCCGAGAGGCCTGCTGAGCACCCTGCCTCAGGGCAAAGCTTAGGGCTCTCAGCACCCCTGCCTTCTCCCCAGTGTGTCGCTCCCCCGGGACCTCATGCAGGGCAGGGGAAGCTCCTGCAGCTGCAAGGAGTGTGGATTCTGGGCCCTTCTGTAAGTTCCCAGGACGAGGCAAGTGGGTGGCAGGAGAGGGGACACTTGCAGCTGCTGAGGTGACCCTACCCGCCCTGCCCCCAGGATGGATCGCTTCCTCCGGAGCAGGCCGGACCCCCTGCCTCTGGGCCGGGTGGGGCTGACTCACCACATCCGTGGACAGCCACTGCTCGATGTCCTCCATGAGGCAGGCCTGGCTGACGGGGATCTGGAAAGAAGGGCAGAGGGTGAGGCGGGGAGGGGGCAGTGCAATGGGGAACAGGGGCAGCCCCCTCACTTACACGAGGCAGCAGTCCTGCTCCACCCTCTTGAGGGTAGAGGCCCTGGCATCTCCTCCCCAAGATGAGTCCGCCCAGCTCCTGGGCCCCAGTTCTGCCCACTGTGCCAGGCAAGGGGGGTGGGGTGCAGGGCCAACAGGGGAGCTTTGTGCACAGGCCCAGAGCAGGGACTAAGTGTGGGGGCGAGGGAGCATTTGAAAAAAAAATGCATGAAGCCCAGGGAGGGGCCAGGCCTCAGGATGAGGGGAGGGGTTGGGGGCGGGGGGGGGGGGCACTAGGGCCTGTCGGGGCAGAAGGGGCGTAGACGCCAGAGTGGAGGAAGGCACCAGGTGACCAGATGAGGCCACGGCCACAGAGGCTCCTGCACAGGGCTGGGCCTTCCTTTTCTAAGGGCCCTTCAGTGGGAGGATCGCGGGGAGGCGATGACACAGACCTCTGTGTCACACGGGCCACGTGCGACAGGTGACATCATGTCTTCGACACTAGCCTGGCTCACCTTTAGCGAGGGTAACAGTGGTGCCTACTGTCCCTGCTGGGGGGGGGGGGCGGGGGGCGAAAGGGGATGCCGGGATCAGAGCTGAGCACAGAGCCGGCAGAGCAACGCCTGAGGAAGCCAGACACTTCGGGCGGGAGGGGAGCCAGAGACTTTCTCTACCAGCCCGTTCAGCCCCCAAGCTCTGCCCCTGGCACCTGAAGACCCCAGCAGAGCCCGGCGAAGAGCAGCAGGAGCCGCCTTCCCAGCAGCACCAGTGGCGGCCCATGCCCACTCCATAAATGGTCCACAAGTGACCACTTATGGTCACTCAGTCCAGAGCCAGGCAAAGCCCAGCCCCGTTCAGCTGTCAGAGGGCCCTCACTTCCCACTCAGAGCCAGAACAGGCCGACGGGGTGACGGAAGCAAGACTGAGGGAGCGGGACAGTCCTAAGTGCTGGGTTGGGCCTACAGGCCCAAGGACTGGCTGGATGAAGCCAGGACAGTCCATGCCAGGGGCCCAGCAGGTCCTTGGCTCCTCAGACACTCAGAGCACCCTCTGTTCTTTGGGTCCCTCAGGGCCCCTGCGTGCGGCAGGCGGAGCTCTCTGGTGGCTGGCCTGGCGCCTCCTCACCATGCCTTGTTTCACCATCCAGTCACTGAGGTTCTTCTCACTGCTGTCTCCTATCTGGATGAGAAAGGGACACGCTAAAGGGGGCGGAAAGGGCAGGCCAGGGCCATGGGAAGGCTGGCCTTCACCAGCAGGGACGCTCCTTTCAGATAGTCCAGCCTAAGTGACCTCAGCACATGTGTGCATGATGTGTGTGCTGCACAGCTGCGTCTTCCTGTGGTGTGAACCATAATAGCCCCACAACTCTAGAGTCCTGAAGGGCGAGGCAAAGTTTCTCCTCTTTCCCAAAGGTCCCGGAGCCCCCTGGGCAATCCTGGGGGAGGTCTGGGCAACCTGGACAGCAGAGTAGGCAGTATTAGCCCGTTTGATGGGCCCAGGAGACTCTGCCAGGTTTAGAAAATGCCCAGTGCCCTGATGCCATATCAATGGGCAAGCAGGGCATTCCCTAGAACCCTGGAGCAGACTGGTGGGAAAGGGAGACCAGAGTTCTGCGACTGCTCCCCCAATCTCCCCGCCCAGAACCACCATGAGGCCTGTCACATGCTGGCCAATACCCCATATCACGGGGCTTATGAACCCCGGGGCCAAACGTTGCAGCCCATATGACTGGCACTTGAGTCTACTCTGCCCTTTGCTCCTGGCATCAGTTCTGGCAGTCCAGGGGAAAAGCCATGCCACTTGCCAGGCCGGTGGAGCAGAGGCTTCCAGACACGCTTTTAAGGAAGTCGTACCCTGATCCCGACCAATGAAGTTGCTTCAACCTCTAAGCGAGCAGAGATGAAGGAGCAATAATAATTATCGCTGCTCTCCTGCAAGCAGACGTGTTTCCTCGCTGAGGCGACCTGCAGATGGTGTGGAGCTGGGGGGCCCGGGCGGCTGTCTTGTCATGCCTGAGTTGCTGTGTGGCCCCAGGCAAGCCAAAGTCTACCCCCCTCTCCCCCATCACTGAGCCAGCCTGACTGCCTCCCAGCTCCCACACGGAGCCTTCCAACATAGAAATCGATCAATGTTGTCCTCTGTTCCAGGGGCCCACATATGCACCCCTGCAGCATCAAATCCATGTCCTCCTAGCTGCCTCAGGCCCTTAGGCATTGCTTCCCACCACCTAGTCCTGCCCTGGCATCAGAGCCCTGTGCTGTCACCTGCTTCCTCTTCTGCCACCTACTTCACGTCCCTGCCTCTCCCAATTCCCCGGCTCTGCTGTCTCTGTCTCCCAAGGAGCCACTCTGTCTGTCCGCTTACTGGGACAGAAGTGGTCACTGCCTGAAAAGCATTCGGAAGCAACTTCAGGTTGGCACGTAGATGCCACTCAACCCAGTCCAGCAATTCAGCGGCACTGAGAGAGACCTGCGGTGTCTCCCTGTGGCATCAGGGTCTGTTCTTTTGTCCCCTGCTGTGCCCCTGCAGACGCACGAGCTGTCTCCAGAGAGGCAGTGGCTGGTTCTAACTGTGCCAAGCACCTTCAACATGCCCTCTCCCGCATTCCCTCACGGACCACTGTGGGTGCTGCTAGCCCCAGAGGCTAGAAGAGGAAACCGAGGCCCAGAGGGTAGTGGCCTGCCGAGGACACGCAGTGGGCGCTGGGAGCTGGGGTGGGGACAAGGCTACTGCACACAGCCCGTCTCAGAGTCAGGTCCATGCCAGCTCTAACCCTTCCTCGCTGTGAGGGTCTGAGCAGATGACTTGACTTCTCTCACTAATAGTTTCCTCCACTGAGAAACAGGACTAAAGTCGTCAGCTACGAAGGGCCAGCTGGAGAGTCAGGCAAGAGAAGGGCTGTGGCCGTGCCACACCAGTGCCCGGCATGCGTGGCTTGGGGCTGAGCGTTCCCAGCTTTCCTTCCACGCAGGCAGCGCCACAGGGCCCTGTGCTTACCGCTCCAGTGCTCTGCTGCCGGGCATCCAAGGCACCAGCCAGGCTGTCTGTGGCTTGAGGGGCTTCATATTTTACCCTGAAACAGAGGTCCCCACATCCATTAGATGCTGCCCATCCCTGGCTTGCCGGCTGACGTGAGGCTGGAGGAGCTGGCTCAGGCTGCAGCGAGGCCTCCCACTCTGCAGCCTGCGGACATGGTGGAAGGAGTCTCATTTTCTGCTTCTGGGAACTGGGATGAGACAAGTGACCTGTATGAAGGGCATGGGCAAGGCTGGAGAGGTGAGGAGGTGCCACTGGCCAAAGACGAGACGGAGCTCACCAACATCCACCCCCAGCTTTGGCTGGAAGAGGGCGAGGTAGCACCGATGATCCTGGGCTTGTGGAGAAGCCACATCTACGGACCTTTTTCTGAGGGGCTCCCACCACCTAGTCTCATAAATGGTGGTTCTGTATCAGGTTGCCCTGAGTGGGATGTACCATCTTGCACCTGCACAGGCAACCCCACCCCATGTGTCAGTAGCACAGCAGGGGGCACCTGAATGTGCTCTGGTGGATGCCAGCAGCATGCAGGTGGATGGGGGAGCTGGGAGGAAATGCAAGGCTGTGTGTGTGTGTGTGTGTGTGTGTGTGTGCATGGGGGAAGGGAGCAGGACTTTGCTGGGGTTGGGGGTGAAGTCTCAGGAGGAGGAGAGACTAAACCAGCAGTGGGAGGAAACCCATGCTAACAGAGTGTAGTCTGGGGGGACTAGGGTGTCTTTGCTGGCTGCTACAGAGGGAACCTCTAGGGCGTCTTTGCCGGCTGCTACAGAGGGGACCTCCAGGGAGGCTGACAAGCAGGAAGTGGTGCAAAGATCGGGCGATGCGGCCTGACCCAGAGGAGGTGCTTGTTCAGGGTGAAGGAGCAGCGCCACTGTGGCCGAGCTAACATGCCGGGGGAAAGGTGGATGAGGCAGGCCCAGTGCCAGGAGACAGACACCGAGGGATGCACCTTTGCACTCAAAGGGGCAGTCTGTTCTTTTCTGACGACCTCCAGCCCCTCTACTTCTTCGTCTCTCACACCCACCCAGCCCTGCAGGCCAAAGCTGGGCGCCCCCGGGGCCATGCTTGTGGGCTGAGCACACTCATGCAGGAAGCCCACCAGCCCACAGGGGCTGCAGACCCGGGCCCCCCGCCCCATGCAGGAGGGAGGAGGCCACTCCTGAGACAGCCCCGGAGGGGCCAGTGTCAGTGCTCTCGGAAGAGAGAAAGGCACTGGGGGGAAGTGACGTGTCCTGGGGACAGTGCTGTGGAAGAAGACGAGGAAGAGGGCCTGGGTTCCCACGCAGCTGAGAGCCCCTGACTTGGCTTGCCCAGATGGCCTTGTCACTCTCCTTGGTGTGACAGGACCTGGTCAGCTGAGTGGTCAGCTGTGCCAGGTGTGGACTAAAGCAGAAACAGAGGGGCTGATGGGCACTGGCTCCCTGTTGATTAGAGGTAGCACCGGGGACCTGTTGATTAGAGGTAGAGGGACGCATGGGCCAGATGCTGGGTTTGCAGAGAAGGATTTAGGAGCCCGGTGCACAAGGCCAATGGGAAGGCTAAAGACTAGTCAGGTGAGCAGGGCTAAAGAGCCAGCTGATGCCTGACAGGCTGGCCAGGCAGGAGAACAAAGGACAGAGGAACTGGATACGAGACACTCCTTCCCTGCTGGGCACTGCTGGGGTGGAAATCAGGTTGCAGGGCGGGCCCGCAGAACCATGACTGAGGTGGAGGTGAAGGATGTTCTTTAGGCACATCTGCCCCACCCCCAACATTTCACTCTCCCCTGCCTCTGAGTCTTTGCACATACTGTTCCTCTGGCCTGAAGCAGCCTTCCTGGTCCCCTAATTCGCTGTACAGCTCTGAGTGCCTTCTGCTGAGTCCATGCCACCTCCCCACTCAGTGCCCACATGCTGCTCCAGAACAGGACCTAGCAGCAGGCTGTGTGGACAGCACTGTTCCCAAGACTGCAGGCTCTGGAGAGCGGGCTCTGGGTGAGATTTCCTCTCTCACTCCCCAAGTGAGTGATTGCACCAGCAAGCCTCAGCCAGGCTGGGGAGCCAGGCCAGGTGCCCGCGGGTCCCAGCACGGCTAGTGTGCTGCCTGCTGAGCCAATGTGCTACCTGCTGGGCCAATGTGGGTAGCAACCCTGTGAGTTGCAAGTCCTAGCATCCTCATTAGCTTCCACCTGCAGCAGCTCATATGTCCAAACTCCATGGCAACCGTGAGCCTCGGCCCCTGGGCTTGTGACTGCAGACTTTGCTCCAGACTAAAGATGTAGCTCACAGTCCAAGGCTGGTTATGGACCCATGGACCCAGGCCGGTTGAATCTGCCAGATCTGACCTGGACTGGCTGGTGTGAAGTGGGGATCCTGGCCTCTGGCTGCCCACTGACAGTTGCCAGAGACACCAGAATGACCCCTCGGAAGTCGTGGGTGCCTCCTTGGCTGTAAATGCTGCTTGCTCACAGCTCAGCCCGGGTCATAAGGAAAGAGCTGACAAGACCCCAAGTTGACAGCTTCCTTTGGTAAGCCTGTGTGTAGTCAGTCCTGGGAAACTGAGGCAAGGGGGCTGGCCCAAAGGACACAATGCTGCTGAAAGCACCATCCTGGAAATGGACAGTCCCCAGGGAAGCACAAAGTGCAGAGAGGCTAACCCAAGCCAGGAGACAAGGAACTGTCTGCAAATTCCAGGTGGTGGGGACAAGTGACGTGGCGTACAGTGCACTGGGGCTGGGTTGGGCGGGAGACCCTGTGTTTTAAGACCAGAGAGTCATGGGCTCCCAAGTCAGTGGTGCCCAACATTAGCTGTCTGGCGACTGAGGCAAATGACCCAGCTGTTGAGACCTGTTTCCTCATCTGATCAGGTGATAGAAGATTGGGGCACACCAATGGTCACCACTCCCACCCACCCTGCCGGTGGGGCAGGTGTCTGTCTGGAGGCCACAGGGTTCTCTGGCCCCACTGGATGACGTGGGGTAGGAGTCCTGAAGGGTGCAGGCAGAGGGCGGTGTGCCAGCCAAGATGCCAGGTTCAGGGGCCCGGAGGAGGCTATTCCCTGACAGGGAGTCACCCAATCTGCAGGGACAGGGTAAGGCCAGGCCACTCACTCTTTGCGTTGGTCAGCCAGCGAGCTGCCCCGGGTCAGCGCAAACATGTCAAATTCGTCTTCCAGTCGGCCAGAAGCCTCCAGGGACTGCAGGCCAGTCCTCACGCTGCTGGAGCCCAGGTCTGTGGGGGCAGAAAGGCCACATAAAGGGTCCACCTGCTGTCCTCATACACTGAGCCATGGCGCAGCTGCTCCCTGTCATGCCCGGGTTTGTTCCAGAGAAGCAACGGGGTGGAGTGGGGACAGGCCACCCACTGGCTGAGGGACGGTGGGTCCACCTTCTCCATGTGGGGATCCAGCCCTCCTGGCAGGATGAGAACAGGAAAGCTGCCTGCTCTACCTGGCAGAGAGAGGGGCTGAGCAGCAGGGAAGTGGTCGCACATGGTGTAATTGAGTTTTCAAAAAGTGCAGTTGGGATGAGTGATTCAAGTAGGATTAATTATTTCCCAGGGCTGGGCATAAAGCGGGCAACTGATGACATTAAAGCTAATCACAGCGATGGTCAGGGTGGCTGCTGGTGTACAGCAGAGCTGGCCCACGCAGCTCATTCAGCCCTGGGGCTGCCCTGTGAAGAAGGCCCGTTCCTGCCCTGCTACAGAGAAGGACAGAGGGGCGCAGGGAACTCAAGGACTGCGCAAGCCCACCCAGCAAGCCCACTGAGCATCCCTGGACCTGTGCCGCCTGCTCTGTAGGGAGCTCATGCCCTGGGGAGCTCAGGAGTTGAGGGCTGTGGGGAAGAGTCCCACTTTGGGTGTTCAATCTTGTAGTGAGCTTCAGCTGGGGATGCTGGTGAGGAGAGGCCAATGCTCTGCTGTTGGTGGTCCAGCTCCAACCGTATGACAGGAGGGCACCCCAGAGCTGCTGGGGTGCCCACAGCACCTAACGTGCCCTGGGCCAGGGCCCCGCACTGCACTTACTCATTCCCGCCAGCTGGGACGAGAGGTTGCCCGTGGCCTTGGGGTCAGGGCCCATGTCGATCAGGTCAGTTGTGGCCTCAGCTTCACCGGGAGCCTGGGGGAAAGGGCGATGCCGCTGTCATCCTGCCTGCATGCAGCCTCATCCCCTCCTGCTCCAAAGTGCCGGGGCCTGTACCCTTTGTCTAGAACCTGTCTCTAGGCCCCAGCAGCACATGAGGCATCAGAGCTTTCACCCCTGGGAGGCTGGGCAGACCCTGGGGCATCAGCTCATGCAGAGCCTAATCTACCTTAAAGGGACAGTGACAAAGTTAGAAGGGGACACTCTCTGAGCCTGTTCAGGGTCTCTGGGGAGGGCAGGGCATAGGTCTTTTTTCCCATTCCCACATTTCCATGGCCGAGTCATAGAAAGAGGTCTTTACCTTGGCGCTCTGGCCTGTCCGGAAGCGTTCAAACCTGCAAGACAGAACAGAGCTGCATTAGGGAGACAGACTAAGAGGCCCTGGAGCACAGCCCGGGCAGACTCTCCACACTGCGGGTCTCACCAGGAACTCAGCGCCCCCAGTGGGTTGACAGAGCACCCAGGTTACCCTGGAGAGATCCAGTTTATTTATGCTGTTGTTCCTGGGGAATTGTTCAAAGCACCCCTCAATTTGGATTGTCAATAGTGCTGGCCGTGATCAGTGCTAAACAAACAGGAATAAACTAGAATAGAAAACAGGAATGCACAGCATGCAGTAAGGCAAGAACTGTTTTATGACTTTGCCTCAGTGATCATGGACTTGCTGGGGATCGGAGGGGCACTCTAAAGCCATTTACAAGACAATTTCCCATGCTGCTTTTGGAGCCATGTATTCCCCTCGGAGAGGCCAGGGGGCTAGAGGCGTGGAGTGGGGGGACCTTGGCCTGGGACCTGTGGGAGTCCTGGCCCTGCTGCTTATTAATGATGAACTTGGGTAAATTCACCCCTGAATTTCAATCTCCTTGTCTATTAAAAGGGGATGACAGTGGAACCTGCCTCCCCGACAAGAGGACGAAGCAATGACACTGAGTAGGAGTGGTCTATTGGGCCTGCCAACTGGGAAGGGCCAGGCAAACACAAGGCCTGATGACTGTGGTGTCAGAGGCCAGACAGCCTTGGACCACCTCTCAGCCCACACCTCAAAATGGAACAAGTATATCTGGCAGATGGGGTGTGCAGCAGCCCAAAGCCCCGAGGATTCAGTAACTGATGAGTGTCTGTTGATGGATAAAGACACGCGATGAACACGGGGCTGGAGGAGCCCGGAGTGGCTGCTGCCTGGCTGTGGACGCCCTAAGTGCTTTCCAGGCACCAGTGCCTGGACTCTCAGGCACCCTAAGGGGTAGGCACCACTACGAATCTTGTTTTACAGGCACAAAGAAAGTGTGGGGGATGCTGGATCTTCAGGCCCAGCACCCCTTCTCCCTTCTTTTGTAATAGCACCTAAGTACTCCTCTGGGGAGCTGCTCTTCCCCATCTCCTGTGATGCTGGTAGGACCACCTTCAAGGGGCCTGGTCCCTCTCCCCCTGAGGGCACAACGAAGCTGAGCTGGCGTGTCTCCTGGGGAATGACTCTTAAACAGAATGAAGCCATGTGGGCATTTACTGGTGGAGACTCCCTGGGGACATGGTCCCAGAGTTTATGCTCCCGAGACCCCTTAGCATCCCTGGATCTGTGCTGCCTATTCTGTTGGGAGGCCTCGCTGCTTCACTCTCCTTTGCATTCTGGAAGCTATCCAGTTAAAAAAGGCTATTTGAATACATTATATTTTCTACTTAAGTTTGCCAGAAATGTTCTGTGTAACTTGCAAAGGGCCCTAATTCAACTGAAGTAACCAGGCTCCGGGTACTGGTCGATGGGCCTGCAGCAGCCGTGGTGGAATGAGGAGGACACACCAGGCCTGGCTGTGCTGGAAGCGGGGCTCCGGGCTCAGGGCTAGCTCTGGCAAGGAGAGAGGCAGTGGGTAGAGGGCTGGTGTTCGTGCCCACACTGGGAGAGGACAGCTGAGGGCACCGCACTAGGTGGCTGGCCTTGTGACTGAGAAGCAGCGAGCAGGTCAGTGGTATAAACGGGACAGAGGGGAAGGGGTTAGGATGGGGCAATGGGTGGAGGCTGGGGGAGCTGGGTGTGGGGCTACCGTTCGTGGCGCAGGAATACGTTGTTGAGATTGTCGTTGACGATGAGCAACTCCTCTGTTAGCTGCTCGTTGGCGATCCGGGGGATGAGCTCCAGGACTCGCTGCTGCATGGCCCGGCACGTCCGGTTGAGCTCCTGTGGAAGGAGGAAGAGGCCAACCACAGTCACTGGAGCCACAGCGAGTCCATCACCAATGGGTGGGCTCTGGCCTCAGAGGACGGAAGAGGTTCCAAGACTGGCTTCCAAGTCTACAGGTGAGCTTTTGGGGTTCTACGAAAGAGCACCTGCATTTCCCTTCTATGTGTTCCACATCAACATTTAACATGCAGGAGGTGGTCAACATGCTCAGCATGCTGCTGGGCTCACTCGGCTTTGTGCAGACTCCAGAATGAAGTCTGGCCGCCATCTTGACTTAGCTGAAAATCAGACTGCAAAGTGGCCGAACAAACCCCACTTCTCTGTGTGTCATGGTCTGCAACCTAGCACAAGAAATGTCTACATGATTCCAACTACTACCCACAAATCCCTATTCTGAAATTTTGTGTCATTATTCTAATTTCTTCTTTAATACTTTTTACTTTGGAGTAAAACGATTTACAGAAAAGTTGCCAAGACAGTACAGAGAGTTCCTGCAAACTGTTCACCAGTGCCTCATGGTCTAGCGTATATTAAGATGGTCCAACAACACTATCCTATTGACTTTGTACAGGTAACACTGGCTCCGCACTACTCAGTCAACCTCAGAGTACATTCGGGTTTCACCTGTTTTCCCACTGAGCCTTTTTCTGTTCCAGGATCCCACCCAGGAGGCCACATGGTATCAGTAAGTGTTACAGACTTAAACTTGCTTGGAGGGGTGCCAGCCTTAGCATTTTTTCATTAGTAAGACTAGGCATTGGCTGGAGAAGTGCTAGGTCACAGCCTTGAGGTGCAGACAGTGGTCAGGCACTGTGCCTTATGACCACACACTTCTCCTGAGGTGTCGTTAATTCTGGTTCTTTTTAGGACTTTGTCACCCACCCCACCCTGGCCAGGCTTTCTTCTGGGATTTCCTCAGGGCCTTTAGCATGGCAGTGGGGCAGGTCTGGGTGACTTTCAACATCCTGCAGGCCATCCCCCAGGACCACCACACCTGTGGCTTTGTTCCTGCAGCCTGGCTGCCCCTCTCAAGAGCAGAAGAGCAACAGACCCTGGGTTCAAATCCCAGCTCTGCTGCTTATATTATATGACATCTTTGCCTCCGTTTGCTGACCTGGAAAATGGGGGAAAACAAGCAGGGGATAATACCCTACCTCATGGGATAGGGAGGGGAGGGCTAAGAACAAGTGCCACGGTAGGGCCGGCTCACGGAAGCGCTGGATGCATGTGAGCTGTCACCACGCCAAGCTGACCTGCCAGCTCAGCCTTCTCAGCCCCCCAGTCAGCACAATGGCATGGCTGTGGCTTGGGACCCATGAAAACAACTGCACTACAGCTCCCCAACTCCCTCCAGCTTCTCTCATGGGTCCCAGTTAGTCTTCAGAGTCAGGAGTTCATTCAAGCCCCCATACAGGGAGGCCCTGGGCAAGTGCATTGTGTCCTCAGCAAGGCGCAGGGCCCCAGCGAGGAGCCCGGCATGGCCCAGCGGCAGTAGCCTGAGGCCCAGCAGGATAGCAACATAGACAAGCGAATCACAACAAACAGGGTTTGAGCCTCAGGGTTTAGGTGATGCTGGGCCTTGGGGGCCCAGCTTTCTTGGTGCCTGGGTGAATGGAACTCCATGGAAAGGGAGCAATCCCCAAACACAGCCCCTTCTGCTCCAGTGCCCCCAACCCTCACAGAGGGCATGGGGCTGTGGGAATATTGCCTGACACACAGAAGGGAAAGCCCACAGCTTTGCGCCTCAGCTCCTCAGTTCCTTCATCGCAAAGTCGCAAGCTCTCTCAGGTCAGCCCATTACCCTTCCCACCCCGAGAGCTACTCTGCACCAGGCACGGGGATGAGGGTTTTACATGTTAGTTCCCCCATCAAACTTGAGTCTGCTCTGCCGATCAGAGCAGTCTTGCAGCTCAGCAAACAGGCATGAGAGGCTATTTTGTTTAAATCAGAAAATGGTAAAGTCCTGGACCCCAATCTGACAGACTCCCAAGTCCCTGGTTTTAACAGCTCTGCCATGATCAAGGAGTTCAGGGGAACTGTGACAACTGTGGCGTGGGTGGGGAAGACGTGTGAGGGAAATAAGCCACCTAGGGGTGGACAACTGCTCACCTGTAGCAGCTCAAGGTCTGCAGGCTCCGCCTGGGTGGGCACCAGCTCCGTCAGCATCTCTGACATCACCCGCACATTCCCACTCACCATCTCCAGCTCGCTGCGCAGCTTCCCAATCTGAAACAACCATCGGCCTGTGAGAGTGTGCCAGGGGTCTGGAGCCAATGCCGCTGACAGGGATTAGAGCCCGGGGCCACCAGCCCCAGGGTGGCACCGAGGAGCTGATCTGCCACCAAGCTCACTCTAGGTGGCACTGAGAGGCCTGGGGTGGTTCTCCCCTAGCCCCCCAACTGTTCCCTCACAGAGGTAATACCAACCGTTACCATCTTCAAACAAGGTAGCCTGATGTAGGGAGAGGCCAAAAGGGACGAAGCTGAGGGTGAATGAACCACGGGACTCGAAGGGACGACTCCCGCAACTCCTGGGCCCAAGGGGCAGTTAACGAGGCCCTGGAGGACAGCCCCCAGGGGTGGAGCCCGCTCTGCTTCCCTCCTAGGATGACAGATGATTATCCTCTTTCCTCCTAGAATATGCGATTTCACGCTCTTTGCCTAGGGTAAGGATTTCACACTCTCCCCTCCTCAGAGGATGGGATGTTGTCTTGCTCCTGATCTCTCTGGAGTTCCAGGCTTTTCCAGGGTTGAGTCTCAGTGCCACCCCACTTTGACTATAACTCAGATTTGGAGTTAAAGGGACGTGAGTAGGTTTTTAGCAACAGAGGGGTTCCAGGTTTTCGCTTAGGGAATCACTGTTTCTTCACACAGTGAGGTGGTGAGGCCACTCATTGGGCCATGCTGTGGGGCTCTTCATTCATTGGGGCTTCAATCCCCAATGAATGCTGTGTCTACTGTCAACATCCAGGAGGATCCCAATATTGATCTGAAGAGCCCTTTGATTATGGAATAATGTCTGATGGGTCTAGCCTACATCTTGGTATATTCTAAATCATGTGACCTAGTTGATTTCAGAATGAGCTTCACTATATAAATTCACATTCCTGTAACAGTAGCTACCATCTGGTGACCAACAACTATTGCCAAACACTTCATGTATATTGCTAATTACATTTCCCCATAGTCTTACAAGGCGGGTACTGTTACCCCATTATCCCAAGTATCAAGACGACACGGGAGCACAGACACAGCTGGCACATCCACCAGGGGTCAGGGACACCTTCTGAAGCCCACAGAACGTTCGGTACCTTTGTCTATTTCATTAACACTCCACACACATGAGTGGAAAAATTACTGATTCCAAACCCAGGTCCATCGGGACCTCATTAGAAGGAGTCTGGGATTACATCACCGCCGGCCTAGAAGTCAGTGTGTCACATGAAGGAAAGCCAAGGCGAGTCGTGTTTAGCAAGAACCTTCCACCCTCCAGATGTAATCAGCCTTACTGCACACAGATGCCAGACTTCAGGCGAACTCATTAAAATCATAACTAGATCAGATAAATTCTGGTGTATAGGGCAATTTTTACAATTGTTTATGCATTTATAATTATTTTAGTCAGATAGGAAAACTTTTCTAGGTGTATTTGTAACTCTGGGGTGATGATTTCATAACTTGCCACAAAGTCCAGAAGTTCCTCTTCCAATAGGTCGGGGTGTGAAAGTTGCTTCTGTAAGTTTGTTTTCTAAACGATGCAGTGCAAGAGGCCTGTGGTGTGCGCTCGCGCATCTTGTCTTTCTCTCCAGCACATTTAGGGGATGGGATGGGTCTGAAGTTTGCAAATTGCCTCAAAAATAATCAACCCCACACCCATGTCTGAGATAGACTGAGTTCCCCCAACACCGGTCGTGGCTGTGGAGGTCGCCCAGAGGGTGAGTTCACCAACGTCAGTGGTCTTCTCCCTGCCTGGGACGGGGAAGCTGAGGGCTGGTGCTGGGCCAGGGTGTACCTGGTCCAAAGAGGGCAGCCCTGCAAAGCTGCCACCAGCCCTGGGCAGCCCGCCCTGGGCCGCCCTCGTAATCTCCCACCACCCAGACCTCTTTGGGGCTTCTCAGGAAGCGTCACGGTGCAGTGCCGGAGTGCCAGGGTTTTGAAAAATGTTTTGTCTTGGGTAGATATTTTCTAACTGTTTTTAGCCAGAACCTCTGTTCAAACAGAATCTTACACGAGCTCATAAGCAACGACACGGGCACGGGAGCACCTCTGGGGTTGAGGGGCTGCCTGTCGGGCACTTCCTCTCCTTGGTGCTACCGAAGTGTTCCATGGAGAACACAGTGTGGGGAATGGCCAAGTGACAGGGCCAGAGCCTTCGTGGAGTCAGACCCCAACTCTCTCTGAGGAGCTGTGTGACTCTGGGCAGGTGAACTTGTCTCAGCCTCACCTCCAAAACGGAAGGCCAGGAACTGCCCTGCAGGGTTGTGTGAGGGCAGAGCGGAGCCTCGCCATGTATGGGTATCACTGCCAACGACCCACAGGACAGTACTTGCATGGTCTAGGCATGCAGTAGGCCACGCCACAGGGCTGGGTAAAGCACTCTATGACATCTGCAGAGCCAATACCACCTAATGACCCACTTTCAGGACTTATCCTGTGGCTGAGAGAGCGTGACTGCACTGATGGACCCCGTGAGTGGGGCCAGGCCCCTGCCCTGCTGTGGCTCACCTGGGCTCACTTGCTTACCTGCTCAGGGGTCGGTGTGATGGGTGTGTCGCTGGGGAGAAGGGCAGGGGAAGGCACAGGGACAGAGTGCTGATTGGAGTCCCCTTGATGACTGGCGTCGGTGCCCACAGCATTCTGTCCCGATGTTGTCTCCGAGCTGAATACAGTCTACAGGGCCAAAACCAGGGACAGTGAGGCCAGAAAGGTGCAGATGGTCAGGGCCAACAGAAAGTAGCTGCAGAAAGTCGCTCTGCTGGTTACTGCTGCCTCCCCTCCAACTGCCACCCAACCAGTTGGGCTCCTCACCCTTTGGGGCGTGTGGATGGGCGACAGCATGTCCAGGTCAGTCATCGGGAACTCCAGGCCCTTCCTCCGCAGGTCCTCGTAAACAGTGACCACGCCTGTCAGATCGGGAGAGCTGCGGAACGCGTCAGCCCAGGACTGAGAGGGGACAAGGGGACACGGCCAGTAACCACTGCTCACTGCTGCCCTGCAGCCCACCGCCCCACAGCAGAAGTTCCTTCCCTGAGCTGCTGGTCCTCTGACTGCCTCACATGGACAGCCCATTCCTCTGCAGGGTCCACAGCTGACAAACACCCTGTGCCCCTTGTCAGAGGCTGACTGAGTAGGTCCCAAACAAGACGCAGGGGAAAGCGAACAGGAATAGCAGCAACAGCAGCCCCGCTCACCTGGATGAGGTTGAGCACCTTGTCGTGCACGACGGTGGGGGGGTTGTTCTTGGGCAGGATGGTCCTCACCAGCACGCCCTCCACGAAGTCCTGGCTGGCCACCAGCACGTGGAAGCGGTGCCCACAGTTCTTGACACAGGTTTCTAAGACCTGGGGGCCGTGAGGGACCTGTGAGCACCATCAGAGGGAGGGGGTGGCCAGGACCTCCACCCTCACACCTGCTTATGTCCCAGAAGGGAGCTGAGCAGAGGACGGGGATTTCTGAAGTGACATCTCACAACACAAGTGACCTCAGTGCCCACTGAATCCTGTCCAGATGTTGTTTGTGAGTAGCGCCCAGGCAAGAGGGTGCTCCCGTGGAAACCAGAGGGAACTTTCTAGCAAACGGTGGCCCTACAGCCTGAGAAAAAGGCACTAAAAGTCCCTTCCCACTCCTCACTCCTCGTCCCCACTTCCCTGCAGCGGCCCTTGCCTTTCAGTTTATCAGGCTTCACCAGATGGAAATGCTGACGTGGGGCTGGACAGAGTGCTCTCACCCCCACTCCCCACACAAAGCCGCCCCAGCAGCTGGGATGCCCACTCGCACCCAGGTCTTCTGATGTGGATAAGGATTTCCTCAACCACCAGCATTTGCTTTATGCTCATTTCTCAGGGAGTCCGGGGGCTAGTCAACACCCAACTCTGTTTCTGCTGGTCTCCCCCAGGGGTGCTGGGCTCACCTTCTATGTCACCTGGCAGGGCCTGTGGCCCAGGTTTCCCATGCCAGGAGGCCAGAGAGCATGGTCCCCACTCCATGTCTGCCAGCAATGTAGACAGGACAGTACCTGCCCCCCCAACTGTTCCTTTCCAGTCTTGGAAGAGGAGACCCAGGGTGGCTGGGAGCCCTGCTGGGCCTGAGGGGAGGTCACTCTGACCGACTGTGGTCCCGACTGCAGATAGATGGATGGACAGACGGGGCACTCACCGTGAGAGCCAGCATCACCTCGTGGAAGTTCTTATTCCCCACGATTCTCTTCTTCACTGCTCGGAAGGCATCTTTGGGACTGGGCAGAAAGACAAAAGGAAGGATGGGCTGAGGAATGGAAGCAGCTCATCCACCCGGTGGCTGCCCGCAGGCCAGCTGGATCTCCCTGGCGGAGACTGGAGGGTGGAGCTGATTCTGCTCCAGCTGCAGATCCTGTGTTCAGCTTGGAGGCCTGGTCTGGCTGGTACTCGCCACAGGCTGGGGTCGGTGTCACACCCATCCCACCTTCCCTGGCTTCTCCTTAGGACGATGGCCCCACAGGCCTTCTCTGTTCTCCTCACAGTGTTGGATTTATGGCTGGAAGACTCCAGCAGAGCTTTGCCTTTGAGGACTAAGACCCAGAGAGGCAACGTGACTGACCCAAGGGCACATAGCTGGTCATGCTCAGGAGCCAATTCCTCCCCCACACCACGGACCTAGCAGGGCTCCCTGCGCCAAGCCTGCATGTGACCTGTGCACCGGCAGTGCTGGGCAGGCTCTGATTAGCCTCTCGCTTCTGCTTCACTTTCACTGCTCTGCTGTGACTCCCTGACCCTCTCTGCTGGTTCACATCTTAAGGAAATGAAAGTCTGCTCTGGCTCACTGAGAAAAGGGGGCGTCTCTAACACAGCTCAGCCCACAGAACACAGCATGGTGCTGAGAGGCCAGCTGCCTGGGCGACATCCGAGGCAGAGCCAGTGGGCTGGGCAGCTGGGAGGCCACGGGGCTGGCCCATCCGGGGGCCAGCAGCATGCCCTGTGGCTCTGCACTTGCCTTCTCCGGCCCCGTCCATCTGATGAGAGGCTGGATGAGATCCCGGGTCCAATATACTTAAAATGCTGCACTCCTGCCTGGGGGTGGCGCTCAACTGACCTGTGGGGCCCCTCCCAACACCAGGGCCCTTACCCTTCCTCGGTCTCATTGATGATGTCACAGATCTCCATGTTGAGGGCCCAGTCCTCGCTCTGCAGGGCGCCATCGGTAGCTTTCTCTGTGGAGAAGACACCACAGTCACAAAGGTGGGGAGGGTCCCAGGGGGATATACTCTAAAAGTGAGGTGCGGGTGTGTGGTGCAGGGGTACAGAGAGGGGAGAAGGGGGGAAGACAACACTGCTATCTGGGTCAGGCGCTATGTTAATGGTTTGACCAACACTGTCCTGTGGTGCCACTTAATCCTCCAGCAGGCACGTGGGGCGGGGCACCATGGTCCCCTGGCGGCTGAGGAGGCCGAGGCTCAGCATGCCAGATGGATGAGTGGGGCAGGACCCGTGGGTCTGGCCTCAGGCTGCTTGTTTTCACACGACAACACGGAGATAGTACTCAACTGTGCACAGTTCCCCGGGGGGCGGGCGACGCACAGTGGACCCCCAGCCCTCCCAGCGCTTCTTCCTCTGGAGATCGGAGGAAGAAGGTTACAGTGGGGGCCAACATTTTGTGGTTCAAAGAATGAGACCCTGGTGTCCTGACGCTGGCTCCAGACTGGCTCCAGGAGTGAAGCGCTGGCACACCTGCTGGCACAGCATGCGGCTCTGTCATCCGCCAAGAGTGCTGGGCGGACCAGGCACGAGAACTCACTATTCCGCGTGCTCGTACAGCCACCTGCTCTCTCGTCCACATCCAAAGGATGACTGAGTCTTGGGGGTCAGGGGGGATTCTTTCATCCCCAGTTCATGGGGATGGCGGGGGTGCCGGGAGGCAGGCTGATCCCTCCCTCACCGAACAGTTACTGATGTGCAGGCTGTGCCAGATGGAGTGCCAGATGGAATGTGGACCAGGCACTCACGGTCTCTGTCCTAGGAGCTCAGAGAAGTGGAGGCACAATCGCAGCCAGGCCTGTCTGGAGGGGCAGTCCCCACATGGGCGGGGCCCTCTCCTAGACAGCCAGGCAGGCCCGTCTGCAGGGCAACGCCTGGGCTGGGCCGGCAGAGTCAACAACCTAAATTGCGGCTTTCATGACTTTGGTTGTGAACTGGGCCGGACTTCAGTTCCACCTTGGGCTCCGCCTTGGATCCTCTGGTCAGAGAGATGCCAGGGTGGTCAGGACACATGCCAGGCAGCTGAGGCATCCACATACAGTCCCACAGCAGGGCAGGTGGCTCCACCTCTGAGATGACGGCTGGGGGAGGGGACAGGGGCTGACAGATGGGCTCTTCCTCCCATGATTATATACTAAGTGTGGCTTCTTTACACCACCCTCCCCACCCTTGGGGACCCACGCTCCCACTTAGCCACACAGAAGCAGAGCCAAGCAAGTGCTCCCCTGAGCAGAGGGAGCTGGGCCCTACTTTGCAGGGTTGAGGGGTGGGGGGCAGCAGTGGCTAACCAACCAAAAGAACCTGCTCCTCCAGAAGTGACAGCTCAGCGGCCCCCAGTCACAAGGGCCAGAACATCAGGGCCAGAACATCAGGGCCATCCCCCTCCTGGCTACAGAGACTCCACCAGACTCCTGCAGGTGCCACTCCGGACTCTCTGAGTTACCCAGTTCCTTCTCTCCCCGCCCTCTGCCATTGCCCCTGCCGGCCATCACCTCCCCCTCACAGAGCACCGCCTCAGTTCCCCTCTCCCCTGCAGCCGTTCTATGTGCTGCTTGGCATGAACTTTCCAAAACTTGAAAGTGACCATGCCCCTCCTGTGCCCAGAGGCGTTTTCTGGCCCTCGGCCTGGCCCACACGCCTTTCCACTATAGTAGGCCTCTGCTTTTAGAAGCAGAACTGGCTTTCGTCCTCCTACCCGACAAGGACAGTGGCCCCATAGACCTTCTCCGTTCTCCTCACGGTGTTGGATTTATGGTCTCAGGAGTGTCTCACTCCTGAGGACACTGAGGCAGGGAGAGGGCACACTGCAGCGAGGCTGGAGCACTGCTGACACTGCTGCCCAGTCTCTTAGTCGGGCACTCTGCTCTGTCCTCCTGGCCCCGACGCCACTAGCAAGCCTCTCAGCAGTTCCTCCTCTCATGACCCCCGGAGACTCCTGAAAAGATAGGCTCCCTCTTCTCCTGGGGGAGAGAGCATCACGGAGGTGGAGGGGTTTTGGTTGTGGAGGAATGGTAAGCAGGCTGTTAAGGGGCACCGGCATCTTGTTAAGGCAGAGGAATGGCATCCCAGGGGCCAAGGTGGGTATGGAGGGTTCTGGAGACAGTCTGATGCCTGAGCAGAGCCATTCAGAGGATGGAGGCTTTGGGGGAAGCATGGATAAGGGCTGGTTTCAGTCAGAGTCAACAAAGGAGGGAGGCAGAAGAGACTCACAAGAGCCTGAGCAACTGCAGTGGAAGGAGGCCAGGACGGGCGCCGTGGCTGTCTCTGCCGGCTCCCCTCCCGTCTGGCGGGCAGAGGGCAGGACCTCCTTCAACATTTCACGGGGAAAGCGAGGATCCATTAAGGGCAGAAATCCAGACCCACAAGAATCTGGAGATACTTGCTTTGGTTTTGTTTGAACCACAAGTAACTTGGCTTGCCATGTCAGGAAGGAGAGCACGAACACTGACGATGGTTACCAGTTCTAGCAGAATGAAAACTGACTTCCCGACTTCTGAGCTGTTGGCGGTGACCTTGAAAGCCCAGGGTAGCAGTTCTGCTCGTGTCCCAGCTGCTGAGGAAGCCAGGCCTGCACACCTCCACCTGCCACCAGGCTGCAGGGCTATGGTCTAAAGCAGGTGGTTCTGTGGACTTGGGTCACTGGGCCCCTGTCTGTCTGTCCAGTAGCCTTTCCTCTCTGCGTTGGGGCAGACACAGCATGTTGGCATTGGCACAGAATTTGGAGAGTGGGATGAGTCTGGCCCCGCCTGCTAACTGGGATTCCAAGGGCAGAGATCCAAGCCCCTGGATTCACATCTCATCTTCTAAGCAGATAAGACCCCTCCCATCCCCTCCCCGCCTCATGTGACACTGACTGTGCTCCAGGACTGGGACTTGGTTGACAGAACAAAAAGTGGTCACTATAGACTCCAGCTCCAGCCCCTGCTCCCACTCTGTTCCTCCTGGGGGGCAGTGGAGCTGGATGCTAATGTCCCTTTGGCCCCCACAGGCCTTTCTTCTCTCAGTCAGGTGACAGGGCACAGAGGGGGACACTGATGCTGAACACCTCACCACCCCCGCTGTCTCCACACTCACCAGGGACTCAGTCTGCATTGGGCACAGTCCTTGGCACCCCACTTAGCTCAGTCACCCCCCACCACTCCCATCTCACAACCCAAAGACAGAGGCTGAATAAACTCAGGGGCACAGAGAGGTCAGTGATTTGCCCAGGGTCGCACAGCCTGTAGGCTGTAGAGCAGGTTTAAGCCCAAATACTCCCGGTTCCTCCATGTTAGTGCCCCTCCAAATCAGCCCCCTTTGTCACGCAGGCCCTGGGGAGACCTCAGTGAGCAGGTCTGCCCCTGGGAAGTTTACAGTCCATTGGGAGGGCACAGGCACAGGGACTCCACAAAATGTAACCGTGCCCTGACTGACAGGTCTGCGGAGAAGACCGTGCTGTGCTGGTGGCTGTGCTGGTGCAGAAGAGGACAGGCGCTCCCGGGACACCCCCATCTGCCCTCTGGGGGGACGAAGAGCATTGTTCAGCGCGGTAGACAGCTGCCTCTCTGCTCGCGTTCAGTGCTGCGCCCCCGTCCCCATCCCGCGTGGAGACTAATCTTCATGTTTCACTGATCGTGGCGCCACGTCCCGCCGTGAGCCCTTTGAGACTGTTTTCTTACTGATGATGACCCGCCAGAGCTCAGCTGGCGGCTTTTCTTTGCATTCCGCCATCCTGGACTCAAAGGAATGTGGTCTGTGATGGGACTGCCAACCCCAGCAGACCGTGCCCCCAGAGCCCGAGGCCAGTCTGGGGCAGGGTCCCACGTGCAGGGCCCAGGAGAGGAGGTAGCTGACAGTGACAGAAAGGTCACGACGTGCTGTACCCATCAGGCGCCCGCAGGCCCCCTTGAGAGTCTCTCCCTAACCAGCGCCCCAGCAGTGGCTCCTGCACATACATATTCTTTTTGGACCACATTTACTGAATGCCTTGTTTTCACGCTAAAAGGCACCTACCCACACCCTCAAAGGAACCCCAGTTAGCCTTTGTGATTTCTTTCTAGTCTTAACTGTTTTCAGACTTAAATCCCATTGAGCACCTTTTAGAGACACACTGCAACATTTATGAATGAAACGACAGGATGCTTGGAATCTGCTGTAAGTAATACCCCCTCTTTTCCTCACCCACTCCCTCCCACCTACCATCTGCCTTCAGCCCCTGCCCCGTGTCCTCCTATCCCTTCTCTGTGCCTTTACCCCGCCATCTAATCTCCCCGTCACACACTCTGAGCACCTATTGTTTGTCCACTCCCATGCCAGGTGCTAGAGGCAAAGATGAACACCAGACCTCCGCTCTGGAGGAGGTGCTCCAGCACCAGGAGAGCTGCTATGACTGAGGCCAGCCCAGAGTGCTGTGTAAGCTGCAAGAAGAGGGTGATCACCCACAGGGGGAGCCTGGAAGGCGTCGGGGAGGAGGTGGCATCTGAGCTGAGTGTGCAGCATGAGTTGCCAGGTCAGAGAACGTAGGGGAGGGACATACTGGTAGAGGATCAGCTTTTGCCCAGTGGATGAATCAGTGATGAGTCACCAAGGAAGACGGGAAGAGGACTGGGGAGAACTGTGAGCTGACAGAGGGAAAAAGGGCCGTGCTGAGGCAGGGACAGGTCCAGGAGCTTGGAGGAGGCTGAAGGTCCCAGAGAGGAAAGAGGGGTTGATCTCAGGAATGAATGCCCTGGCCCAGGTCAGTCGTCCTCAGCACTGGAAAGGGAATCAGGCCCTGAGCCCCAGCAACACCTCATCCCGGTCTGCCCAGCTGCCCCTCCCCTCTTCTTTACCCGCCCCACTCCCTCTGCCATGGCCTGGTTCAGAAGTCAGCAGGAGATAGTTCTGACCCCCAGGGAGTAAAGGATATCTAGTCCCTTTACTGCTGGGCAGCAGATGGGCAGCGTCCCTTCCGGGATGCAGAGGCCTGGCCCAGGAG